CATTGTTCAAGTTTCAGGACCGCGCGGGTCGGGACGGGGGGGGGGGCGGAAGAGGCCAGCGAGCGTGTGCGTGGCCGCACGCGTCCCGCGCCGTGTCGTTATCGCGGGAAAAAAACGGGCCGCGGGTAAAGAGTCGCGCACAATTAGCGGAGCAGTTAGCGTGACAAACCCTCCGAGCGTCCGCGGGGGATGCGCCCCCGTTCCACCGGCAATTACCTATTTCGCGAATTAAAAACGACAAACGGTGACCGGCCGGCCCAGGCTGCGCCAGTTTCGCTTCCGGCCACTTTCCGCGACGGCCGCATCCCTCGAAAACTGGTCCAACGAGACGACTGTCCGTCGATGCGCACTTTCGGGACAACTGTGGTCTTCGGTGGTTGAAAGGAGCAGCGTGCACCCTTGTCCCGCGATAAATGGGAGACACTTTTCGGAGCAACGTTGCTCGGCGGCCGTGAATCGGATTTATTTCTTATTGATTGAAATAATGAGTCGAAGAGCAACGGAGCACACAGGGAACGAAGAAATTTGTTTTACGAACATGTTTGTATGCGTGTGAGAGAGTTCACCAATCCAGTTGCAATGGTTTTTGTTTAAACAACTGAAACTTCATCAATTTCCTAATCATTCAGAAGAAGCGAAAAGATGAACGTTAACGCTTGTTTGTCAAGTGATATATCTGTAAATATCCGACGATTCTGTTTGAAAAAATTCGTGGTAGCTCTTAAAACATTGCCGAATACATCTGTAAATCGTCGAACACGTGACTGCAACGGTTTTCGTTAAAACAAATGAGAGAGTCGGTCATCTTATAACAACGCAGGAGTTAAACGAAGCTGCTTGTCTAATAATTGATAATTTTAGAAACATACAACGATATTGCTTGTAAAAATTCAAAACAGCTCTTGAAGCATGCCCGAATGTACAAATAAATCGTCGAACACGTAGGTGCAACGGTATCCGTTTAAAAAAATGATAATGTCGGTCATCTGCCGACGATGCTCGCGACGCGAATAGCAAACCGTTGGAATTCGGCGGAACGGAGGGTGAAATGTAGCCCGTGAAATGTGGAACACGCCGAAAGGAAAAGCCGGGAGAGGAGAATGATC